CATCATCTGCTACTATTTGTACTACTAATAAAAAATTAAAAAAATTAATGGGAATTATAAAAGAACTTAAAAATGAATCTGAGACAGATATGGACATATCTGATAATGAAAGTGAAGGGTCAAATACTAGGTAGGATTATGTTAAGAAAATTGAATAATTTATTGATTTTGGCAAATTAGATTTTATGCAAGTATATACATGCAGTACAGTGCAAGAAATTTAAAAACTTAATCTTAAACACACAAAGTTCTTATATTATCTATAGTAGCAGTTATGAAACCTAAATACCAAATACGAGGTTCTTGTATAACCAAAGCTTAATTGCTTAATATGAAGTTCTTGTTTTGCTAATAGTAGTTACAGAGCCTACTAACTAATAACTTGTTAAAGTATTTTTAGTTTATGAGTTACTAAGAAATAGGCAGAAGAAGTAGGACAATAGAGCTAGCCTTTATTAGAACTATATAATTACCTCTCATAATAATTCACATTTCAATAATCATATTAACTAGAAAAATATCTATCTGATATCTTCTTTAGAAAATAATGAACATTGAAAATTAGACATTGCTATGAAATATAGTTTTACCTCCTATATTGACAGATTCAATTATAGTTAGATCAATCTAGTTTTAATTTGAGGCTATATCATCATAAAGGCTATATACAAATATTTATAAGAAGTCATTAATCTTATAAAGTTATCTGATCTCGTATTTCTGCACTGTACTAGCATTATTGCAGTTTGCAAAATTTTGTAGATTAAAAAAAAAGCAATCTGCTTTTTTTGCAAACTACAATAAATATAAATTTTATTTTTAGAATTAAATGAAATTTAATTTATTATTAATTATTTACAACTTTAATTATAAAATAAGAAATGCACCAGCTATAGTTCAACTATATATTAATGCAAGACGTGCCTCCAAGCATGCGACAAAAGGAAACCAGTTAGAAATTTTAAGTTGGTATAAATATGCAGAGAGTTTTGAAAAAAAAGTAAATGAAATTTTAAGCAATAATCGAATTACTCTAAAAACAGCAAAGTCAATTGTCTATAAAGAAATTCATAGTCATCTTTCTTATGTTTCTTTAGAAACATTAAGGCAGAGAACTAAAAAAGCCAGAACTATTTATAATTTTTTTAAAGATATTGGAGTAGACAAAATTGAACGAATTAGATCATTTTGTGCTAATTCAATTTCTACTCTTACTCCACAGCAAATTGAATTTATCAAAACACAAATTAATTAAAATATTTACTTTAAAAAAATTTTTTTTAAAAAAATTATAGTTCAAAAAAATATTTTACTTTAAAAAAAAAATATTTTTTATTTTTTATTTTATCTTTTTAAAAAATTATTTTTTAAAAATAAAGTTTTTTATAATAAAAAAATATGCTT